AAAGCCCAATTGTTTCTCGCGATCAGAGCCAAAGTCCTCGCTCAGTTAACAATAGCTTTTGGCTTGCTCATAATTTTTTACTTTCTTTCCCCTTGTATGTAAATAAGTGCAAACAAACAAAAAGTTTTGGGGCGGTTTCATGGACACCTTAAAGACAATTCGCCGAGAACGAAAGACAAGTACATAAGATACATGCATGTAAGAGAAGTTCTCTACTAAATCTTTTCTTTCTCACAATAAAGTGTTACGCTGCATTTGAAATACACAATTCATGATAAATTATTTATTGACCATGGGAACTTGACACCACGCTTTAAAAAGAGATAAATAATTTTGGTCTTTATTCTATAAAGTTCTTTAAGGAAAGGCTTTTATAGCTTTTTATCACTTTCTCTTTGTAAAGATACCGGAAGTTGATCGGAGTCACAGTAGAAGTTGTAATATTATGGAGGTAAATTGAAAGCCACGTAGAAAATGAAACATGCAGTTCACGGTGGTAAATTGATGTTTAGGCCGATAACACAGGATATATATTACTGTCAAATACCTCAATTGAGACAATTACTGTCAAATACCTCAATCGAGACAGAAAAATTCTTAGCGAGGGTAGGCATATTTCGTCAACTAATAATTCTGAAACAGACGGCTCGCTTCATATAAACACAATACCAATTCGAAAATTGTAGTTGATCGTCTGGAGATATAACCACGCTTCTCTGGCGTATCAAGGGGAAGTCTGTTGTTCCGGCTGAACTTTTACGTCTGAAGCGCTTCAAGATAGAAATTTGTCTCAAGTATGACCGAAAATCAACGTAAAAACTCGTGACAAATCGGAAAATCGGTTTTAAGGCCATAATCCAAGCGATAAAAACGAGGTTCAGAAACTGAAAGTACGCGCCGAATAAGAGGGGGAATATTTGAATTCAAACAAATTTAACTTTTAAATTTAGCCGGTTATAGAGTGAATTTATTACAGTCCACTCAATTGACCAATTATCGCGCTCGTACTAACTGAAAGATGTATTAAGTCATTCCATATCAACAAGCAGCCATGTATTATTTGTTTGTTATACAAACCTTAGAGGCCTCAGCTGACAAGAAAAGTCGACTTTATTAAGGAATCAACTTGACATAATGGCGTGAAAGGCGAGACACGCGTCAGGAGCTGATTGGCGATATTAAACACACATGGGAAATTATCGCATTTTATACGCATGCAGTCCCGGCATCTCTCAGGGCTGGAAATCAGCAGTTTATATAATGGTACTAACTATTTGTATCCAAAATGAATACAGCGAGCATAGCATTTCTGGTTTGCCATGACTTTAATATATATCGACTTAGACATGATGAACAAATCATGGTTACGTAATCATGACTCTCCTGAAACCAAAGACAGCCTCGGGTAGTTAAAACAAGCCTTTCTCTGCCATAATAATATACATCATTTAAATGATCTAATCATAATGACTGGCGGAAATGATTTGAACAAAGAGGCTAAAAATGTTTATGTT